GATATTAACAAGTTTCATGAACTGCAGAGAAGAATTTGAGATCGGAGCAGTCTTTTTACTTTCTACTCAGTCTTGTTTCTGTTACAACACTCAAACTGTCTTCCTCAATGATATGTTAAATAAAAATGTGTTTATTTGGGAATCCATACATTTACGTCATAGTCTGCGATAAGACAGCTGAATCAAAAATTAGACTCTTTACTAAGTCAACATCTTATCACACTAAATGTTGATATACATGGTGCAAGTTATTTAAAAATAAACTTGGGAAAAGAAAGGGAGAGAATGGTAACTTTCAGTTTATTTTTAATTTTTAAATTACAGATATATGGATGAATATATCCATATTATTATCACCCGTTTTACAGTGAATCAATAACCACTTTCCTTTAATGTGCATATAAATGTAGTTAACATTTTTGTAGAACTATTATATAAAAGTAAAAAGTTAGAGAAAATGCTATAACTGAGTCTTACTTTGATTCTCTACCTGCCTAAAATTTTAGGCTATGCTTCTCAACGACAATAAAGAAAAAGACAAAGTGAAGAGGTGGCACTTCTTTTTTAACCTTAATTTCTAACTAACCCTGCCTAGATCATAACAGAATCTAAACCAATTTTAATATAGCTATAGCTTTTTTCAAACTTTAGATTTTTTTCCATTTTAGAGAAACGAGTTTTGTTGTAGAAATGTGTGCAAAGTATCTAATCGTGCTGGTTTGTACACACACAACAAAGGATAAGGGGAAAAGATACACATTGCAGAGCTGTATCAAGGGGCTAAGTGACTTCAGGTTTTATAAATATATTTTTTTTCCCTAGCTCCTTCTGTTTGACTAGTTGAATGACTGTCATTTTGTATCTATTCCTTGGAGGCACTGACATGGTGAGGGTGCATTGTGATGGATGGAACTGTCAGAACCCACTGAGTATTTAGATATTGTACTAGTGAATTACATTCACAAAGGGCTGCTTATAGGAAAGTGGGATTGCTCTTCTATTACTATTCTTTTGAGTGTTAAGGAAATGGGCTGGTAGTTAAAGAACAATGATGCGTTTTCCCTTTCCTCCGGCTACCATCTCTTTTGTGTTGCTTAGCTACAATTGCGCAAACCTTAAGGCTTTTGTCCGCAGGCATTTAGCCCAAGGATGAACTTCTTCTTCAGCTAGCTTTAAATAATCCAAGAAAGCAAGGCAAGGCACTCGGAAAACAGGTTCCTCATGCCAGATTCTACAGACGAGAACAAGAAATCACATTGCTTATTAGAAACCTAAAGGACGAAAACTTGAAATAAATATGCTACGTTGTTTTTCTTGCTCAGTGTGGTATCTCCAATAAAAGCATTTTTCATGAGCTAACTGACTTTACCTGCTATACCCTCCTTAAAGGTGAATTTGAGAAGTCAGCTCTTTTCTCTTAGGAAGGCTGCTTTTTATTATTTGCATGGTACTTAAATGGGCCGATCTCCTTAAGTGGCAGAATGTAGCTTGGGGACTTGCAGTTGTAAGCTTTTTCCTCCCACAATGTTTCAAAGAGCCACACAGCATGATCAGAAGAATTATCACTAAGTAACTCCTCCCCCCAATTGTCATACCAAAGTAATAGCACGTTACCCTTGAGAAGTGTATTTCTGGAAACATTTTAATTTTCTGAGCTGCTTAAAATAACGGAACAAAATGGCAATAATGATGCTGTTTGCTCCTTTAGTATTCTGGCTATCTGATGACCTAAGAATAACTTTGGATCCCTGATCTACAGATACTGCAGTTGCCAGTTATGCCGTTTGGTCTGGATAGAGTCCCTAATAGTACCCCAATTTCTTTAGGGAGAGTAAATTCAGGTGTCACTTCTCAATAAAGATGCACCAGCCAGAGACATTTCTTCCCCTGCGTGTTGCTTTTATCTCACCATATGGTCCATATCTCCTGGGAACTGGCAACTTGACTGAGCGAGGTGATGGAGAAGGGATGCTGAAGGTATTTCAGTCCCCCTGAAGTGGGGGGGCGGGGTTCCTGCCCAGGCTGTTCATGTTTAGAGATGGTCGTTGTGCGACCTGTGTCTGGTTGTACGCATGTCTGTGGCCCTTTGTTTCTCCCTTTGCCTTTTTTCTGCTTCCAAACCTGCTATGCTAGGTTTGTATCGATTCTGTGAGACTCTGCCCAGAGGATGGCACACACCCACACCCCTAATCCTTTCTTGCAAACAAATGCCTTTTGCTCCAATTAGAACTAGTTTCTGTTGTTTGTGACAAAGAACTCTAACTGATACTGATGCCAAGAGTCTAAATTTTATAGAAAAGAAGATAACCAAAATCCTAGGGGGATGTACTTGACCCAGTCCTCAAAAGTTGAACGTTCATGGTTAAGTTTGTGAATCATGAAAATGTGGTAAGACCAGTGATACAGGGTAAAAAAGTTCATGTAGTGTCTTAGGATATAGTTATGTTTTCTTTGACACTTTAGCTTCATATGAGACATCTTAGTGTGCTGTCTACATTTTTGAAGATTTGATATGTTAAACCTTCATTCTCGGAGATTCGATAGATAGAAAGGGTTCAACCAAATTTGCATAACACCAAATGCCATTAGGCTTCCTCCCATCTTACTTTACCTGATGAGTTGGACTTTTTGAGTTTTAGTTTTTCTTTTTTCTTTCCTTTTTTTTTTTCTTTTTTTTGAGAGCTCATTTGTACTTTTAAGAAATCTATTAATGCCCGGGAACATTCTGTTATTTCCTTCAGCTGCTCTTCACAGTGGTTTAACATTAAACTGTATAAAACTGAAATTTTAGTGCCAAGATTGTGTTGATTTGGTGGTACAGACGAGTCAGCATTTGTGATATCAGAAGATTGTTCAGACTGTTAGAATCTTTTCCAAAAATATTGTTTACAGTGAAATTATAACACTAAAAATGGATGTGGGCTTAGAAAGTTCTATTCACCTCTGAGTGATTTTATTAAAATATTAGAGAAAATAAATATCTATTCATAAGACACCATTAAGTGCCTTCTTACATGTTTTTGTATTAGCATGATTTCAAAGCTCATTTCAGAACAAGGAATATTACTAGGAAAAAAATAGGATATTTCAAAATAACGAAAGGAAAAATTTCTCAAGAGCACATAGTTCTAAATATGTATGCCACCAACAGCAGACCTTCAAAATATGTAAAATAAAACTGTCAGAAATCAAGGAAAGAGACAAATCCACAATTTTACTTGGAGATTCCAACACCACTGTCTCCATAACTGATAGAAGAAAGAAGAAATCAGTGAGGAAAAAGAAGACCAGAACAATAAGATTAAAAAATGTCAGCCAGTCTAATTGACTTTATAGAACACTGCACTCAAAATCTTTCTTTTCACATTCATATAGACTATTCACTGAGAGACTCAGTAAGTTTAAGAAGCTAGAAAGCATACAAAACAAAAAGAAACTAGAAATTAGTCACAGAAGGGTATTTGAAAAATCCCAAATATTTGGAAATTATACAGTATCCTTCTAAATAGTTCATAAGTCAAAGAAGAAATCAGAAGACAAATAAGGAAATTTTTTTAATCAATGAAAATGAAAACACAACATACTACAATTTGTGAAAAGTAGGTAAAGCAGTGCTTGAAGGAATTGATAGTGTTAAATGCCTATATGGGAGTAGAAGAAATATCTCAAGTCAATAATTCACTTTAAAAAGCTAGAGGGAAAAAGAAGCAAATTGTACCTAACATAAACAGAAGGAAGGAAGTCATGCAGGTAAACGGGACAACATTTGTTCAGTAAAACATAAGGATGTACCATTTTGCTGTAATTTTTACTGTGACTGTTAGTTTATGTAACGGTGTTACCTGTTGTCTTGGGCTAATTTTCCTTCACGTCATTCTTTAGTGTCTTAAATTATTTGATCAATGAAATAAAATTAGAAACACTTGC